TGAAGTTGCAACGAAAATAATTTTATGGTTGGGGGTCACCACAACATGAGGAACTGTATTAAAGGGGTCGCGGTATTAGGAAGGTTGAGAACCACTGCTTTAGACCGACCCACTGATGCTGCAGTCTCCTTAGAAATAGGTATTTCTGCCTTATTTATCTTTTCTCAAAATGACTGGGAGGCAGGAAAGGTGAGCAACAACACGTCACATTGTTCTCTTTGCAAAATGAAAATCACAGTGTTTTGCCACCTGTTGTTCTGCCTGGTATTTGCACTGCAACTTTAGTAAATACTATACTATAAAGAAGAGAACAGAAGAAAATAAAGTGTCTTACGGTCATCAAAAGAATGTTGAGGCTCATACTTTGTGTATCAAGAGGTGGAGAATAGATCCCATCTGTGGTAGACAGTTAGATATGAGCAGAGCAAGGATGATGGGCCAGGTTGAGAAGGTCACCAGGGTGAAAAGCCCCAGGTGCCCAGCAAAACTGGGAAAACAAGAACCTCACCCCCAGGGTAACATTTCCTCCCCTAGCCTATCTCTGATCCTGCCCTTTAGACCCCTGCAGTTCAGCCTGACCTTTCCTCTCTTGGCATGTTGCTAGTTATGAGGGTTAGACCCCCGCTTAGAGGGGGAACAAAGAAGAGAGCCAGAGAATAGCCCTGAAGCATTAAGCTCCATGACAGTTTCGATCAGCATAAAACACACCTAGGCCTCCTTGTGTTTCAGCCCCAAGCCCAGAAATGCAGCAAAACCAGACAAGAGGCGCCAGGACTGACATCATCAGAACCAAATGCATTGACTTATGAGCCCCCCTCCCCTCCTCCCCCGCCCTGGTGCCAACCAATCAGAGGAGACTAGGACCCTGAAAGAACACTTCTGAAAAACTGATGAATATGCTATTGAGATCCCCCCCTGAGACCTCCAGAAACATACCCTCAGGAGGGGCCCCAGTGCAGCTCCCTATGGGGCATCCCCAGGCCTGTTCCCGCTCCTTCCACTAGGTGAGTTTTCCACTCCTCTCTCTGATCCTAAGCAGCAAGGGTCCTTCTTTTGCCTCTGTAACACTTGTTTCCCGAGCCCATTTCTTCTCCAGCTCACTTCCTCTACCTCTATGACTTTTTTTTTTATCCCCCCACTCTTTTTTTGTTTGTGTTTTTCTTTGTTCTTTCTCTGACTTTCTAAATAAACTTTCTCTTATAAAAAACACACACAAAAAGACTTGGAGAATAAATAACTGAAAGTACACATGACAAACTTCTCTAAATATATAATAATTCCAGATAGAACCTGTGAGTTTTTACAAAATCCAAGACTTTTTGTGGTTGTTGTTAATCCTCACCTGAAGCTATTTTGCCATTGATTTTTAGAGAGAGTGGAATGGAGAGAGAAGGAGAGAGAGAGAGCGAGATAGAGAGAGAGAGAGAGAAACAGAGCCAAACGAGCTAAGGCCCAAGACATTTTTGAAAAAGGGGTATGCTTAGAGCTTAAGCCCATTTTATTAATCGTAACTATTTATGAATTGGGTAATTCTTCTCACAAAACATTTCCAACATCATCTCCATCCAGCATTTCATTTCTTCCTTCACTCTCTCATCAGACAAGAACAATGTTTGTGAATACAGTGTTGCTGACAGCACAGGTCACTGCATCACCAGGCTTCTGGTCATTAAAACGACTCTGAGTTACAGCTTCTTTACTGTTCAACTAGGTGTTTTAATACTGTTGTACCACCCTGATCGCGTGTTTGAACCCGGTTCCCTTCCCATGGAAACAGTCAGTGTACTCACAGGTGATCGTGCTCTGGAGAGTGCTATCATGATCAAAAGCGATGACTGTCACTTCGTAGGGTGGCCGGCCCTCATCTTCCCCATTTTGCTGGCGACTCAGGCAGCAGCGGAAGCACACAGAAGTCAGGCCACACAGGAGAAGCAGGGCGCCAATTACCACCAGCAACCTGCAAGGAGCCCACCAGCACCAGAGCTCTGGGTTCTGCTGCGTTTCCTAACTTGGGCATAATCAGCCTTCCACGTCTGCGGTTTGATTCTTGTGTGGATCTTTTATAGAGTAATTATAAGATTTTAATTCCAAGGCTTTCACTTCACATGTTATACTTCCTTACTTTGTCAGCAGGGCAGAGTCAATTTGTTAGAAAATTAGCAAGAGGTTTAATGTGACTTGGAGGGGCTGCTTTTTACTTTACTGAAGTAGCCTCTATAGGCTATTTTAGAGCTGATCTGAGGATGTAGACAAGAATCTGTTGATGTTGCCCGGGAAGATGGTATTGAAATAGGAAATCCTGTCATATTGTCACATAGGGTGGCGATGAAGTAAAGAAACGACTCCATGCGATGCTATGCAAGTAAGTAGGCTGGCGGTCTCATATACATTTTTTTTCCTGCTGTCAAATATATTTAAACTAAACAAACAAACAAACAAAAACAGTGGCTATTATAGCTGAAACTTACCATATGTACCAGAGATGTACCCAATCTGTGGTCAGGCAACTATGAAGAAAGAATAAAGTTGTTTGCAATAAAAATATAGTCAATTCCTTTTATGATTCCAGAATCAAAACAATGAATTACAATAATAGGATCCCTTGTTTGGATAAAAGCATCCCAGCCTATATTAACGTCAATGTAACCAGCTGAATCTATTGTGTAATGGGATGCTTTAGTTTTCTACGCTAGATGGCAGTATGAAAATCATTTTGTAAATCATTATATGACAGACTAAAGTAGTGCTCATGAATTAATATTCATAGGAAATATAGCCATAACTATTGTAAATAGTTGCGATGACAGTTACCAAGAAAGAACTTCCAATTCGAGTTTAAAAGAGGCTGAGCCTGACCGGCATGGCTCAAGGGTTGAGTGCCGACCTATGAACCAGGAGGTCACGGTTTGATTCCCAGTCAGGGCACATGCCCGAGTTGCAGGCTCTATCCCCAATGTGGGGTGTGCAGGAGGCAACTGATCAGTGATTCTCATCATTGATGTTTCTCTCTCTCCCTCCCTCTCCCTTCCTCTCTGAAATCAATAAATATATTTTTAAAGAGTTTGAAAATGGGTGTGAAAGTTAACATTTGTATATATTTGAGATTAATAAAATTTAAACATAAAGAAAATTTTGGTTATAAGCATGAAAGCAATACAACGAAATTCATAATTTATGTATTGCAAGTTGTTGCAGAAAGGGCCGCCATAAAAACTCCCACCATAAAAAGGGCCCTAAATTTTCACATCCAGAATCAAAACTGATATACATGATGGCTGAGGCCAAACAAAACGGGGAAAATGTATAAACCAAATTCATCATGATGAAAGCTAATTAAATATTGTGAATTAACTAGGACAATTATACATTTTCTCTATTGGGATAAAAATGTGGATTGCATGAGAGGAGTATGGGATAAGCTCAGGAGTGGGAAGGGGAAGTAAAGGAAAATGTTTGTTTATCTTTAAAGACGGAGTAAATTTAATACTACTTTCTGATATATTTATCTATTAAAATCTATTGAAATGCGCACTCTAACCTCTCCCTGGTTTCGCAGTTGTGGAACATACAGTTGGCATTTTCACTGAACAATGTCTCCTCCAGGTTTTCTCACATTCCCTCCCACCCCCACCCTCTTTTCCCCTATTGTGTTCATCAGTTTATTTTACTCTTTAGATTCCACACATAAGTGAGATCATGTGATATTTGTCTTTCTCTGACTGGCTTATTTCACTTAGCGTAATAATCTCCATTTGAACATCCCCCATTGTTCAAAGCCCTTTATAGCTCTATGCTGTGATTCTGATTCTATTAAAATGACTCTTCCTGTGGTGATGCTGAAACCTCAGAGAGAGTGTGAAAGTAACCAAGGCTATCACCATTTCCCTTGGGTATAACATATTTGCATTGAGAAACTCTTCCCATGGCTAAATATGCGTTTTCCTTCAGCCTGAGCAAATCTTCGATCGAAACCGTCATTGATTTTTTTTACTAGTTTACCTCTACGTGGAATGAATCTTTTCCCTTAATATTCTTTGTGTCTACATAAGACCTAATTGTGATAGGTTTAGATTAAGGGGTAATTATCTCAAAGTAATAGCTAAATAAAGGCTGCAATAAATATTAACATGCCCTAAAAAATAAAATACTCCAGATTTGAAGCGGTGATGTACCTTTGGAAATCACCCACATGCATCTGCCTGTGACTAAGATATTGAATCCAGTCTGTCTGCATGAGTCACTAAAAATCATGAGTAAGAAACTCTTCTGCAAATCTCTATGACTGCATAAATTGCGATGATTAAGTCGGCTGCTTTTAAAACTGGCTTTGGAAAAAAACGCTGTCAGCAATGTTATTTTGAGTATTTCGGATGACAAAAATGCATGTCTTTATTTTGGGATAACCCGTCTGTGGGCTAAGTGCCCATTTAAGTAGAAATAAGGGAAGTCACAGATATCTGATGACATTTTGACCCTGTTTTGGGTATTGATGTTTTTGTCTGTCTCTCCTTCCTCCGCAGTTGGACTCTCAGATACTTACTGTTCAGGACTGACACAGCTCTCCTCACATCTTGCCCAAGGAAGCTGTAGGAAGGGAAATAGTCTCAGACAGGGAAACTGTCTGATCTTTTCTGCCCACCAACCTATGACTGCTATGTTACATCAGCTGGTGAGAGCAGGGTAAATGCGAGGACAAGGTCATGGGGTCAACCATGTTCAAGACTGTTTTCATCTCTCCGATACCCATCCATTACTGCACTTGAGGTGGGAGAACCTGGAAGAACAAATATCTAATCTGTTTGTTTTTTTCTTATGGTGGTGGCTGAGCATCACTGCCCTGTGAATGAGAGGCAGCATTTATATCAATTCGTTTGTCCTAGAAATTTCCTGATCTGTCCCTCAGGATATTGTGACTGTCTTCCTAACTCGTTCCCAGTACAAAATGAATTCTGCCCTACTGCTCTTTTTCATTCCCTCGGTACATCCATAACTTACCATACAAGAGAAGAAGAATTTGAGAAAACGTATTGAGTAGCTACTATATGCCAGTCAGATGGCTAATCATTTTTAATATTTCTTAACATTTCATCGTGAAAACCATGTAGGTGGATATATTTAACCTTATTTTAAATAGGTAAGGGACTAAGGCATAGGGGTTTAAGTAACATGACCACCTGCACACACCTCTTGATTTGGCCATAACTCAAATGAAACCCAAATGAACCAGGGACAAATTTGCTCTAACAGCTCCTTGACATTGTTAGCAAGTCCCTTCAACTCCTTGTAAAGAAAGAAACTTCCACTCCTTCCCCTACCTTACATTTGGCTTTCTCCTTCAAAAACCTCTCTAGGTAAACATTTGTTCTAGAAACTGTTTCTTTCTTCCAATTACTTGAAAGACTTGGTATTTCAGGAAACCAACAACAAAGACCACAAAGGTCCTCTAAAAAGGGACAGAGATTTACATTTACTTGGGGTTTTATGCGGGGCGGGGCCGGGCGGGGGGGTGCACACATACTCCTAATGTATCAGAAAAGGATTTTGTGAAAGATCTAACAGCTGCTTTCTGCTGATAACATTTGAGAAACTACTAGTTTTGTTTTAATTTAAAATAGTTGACCACTAAGGATGACAAAGTGTGAGTTTCTTCAACCCAGTTTTGGTACTTGGTTTCATTAAAATAAATAAATAAATAAAAATAAAAAAATAAAATAAAATAGTTGACCACTAAGGATGACAAAGTATGAGTTTCTTCAACCCAGTTTTGGTACTTGGTTTCATTTTCTTGACTAAAGGCTAGAAACACCGAAAGTTCTCAGCAGATAAAATGCCTCTTTCAGGCCTGTTGCAAAAAGAGAAGGAAAAGAGAAAAGGAGGGAAGGGAAGGTCAAGGGAGAGAAGAAGAAACAAAAAAGAAGATACAAGAAAAAGAAAAAGAAATGGATTTTCAGACATTAATTTGACTGTTATATAGGAAGCAAAACAGACACAGCCCACGCCCTGCTAGAAGTGGTACAGGAACCTGATAGTAGGCAGTTTCTTCATTTGCTCTCCTTAACAGATTTCATAGCTGTGTAAACTTCCCCTTGATAGTTGTTCAGAATCCCTTAGTCCAGTGACCCCTCTCCCAGCTAAATGAGTTACTCAGGGGCTTCTGAATTCTAGTGGGGAGAAAAATGAAAGATCCAAAGTATTTTTAAAGAGTTTCCCCTCTTTTAACTTTAATGGAGGCACCTTTAAACTCCAAGAATAGTATTAGGGCTGATGTGGGAAAGTTCATTTAGGAGAATTACATACCTAGTTTTGATCATTTGCTTGGGAATTTGAGGGATGAGTGATAAAATGTTAAAAGAGAGAAATATGCACATGGAAGTGGCATTTCTAAATTGCCATAGATACCTGACTTGTATCTACGGTTGCCCTAATTTCTGTCCCCTGTTTCAATGTTGTTATCATTCATCACACTTGCACTATGTCACCCTATACAACAAAGGAAACATTCTAGTTATTCATTTGCCACTAACCCCTTTTGTCTTCCCCCCTCATTCGTTTTCCCCCAGATTCGTCTGAGAGTTGGTTTATCCAAGAAACAAAAACAAAAGCGTTATTCCCGCATTTTCACTACTTACCTGGATGAAATACACCAGGGTAGAGGCCAACACGGTGTGGACTCTCAGTCCCATGGGGCTGAACTCCTGCGTCTCCGGGATCACGCACTGGGTGTCCGTTACCTGCTTTCCATGTTCTGCTGCTTCCTTTCCGTGCTCTGCCCCTTGTCTGACTTCTTGACCTAGAGGACTTAGGAGAGACACTTTTCTTAACAATAAATCACTGTTTTCTTTTCTCTCTTTCTCTCTTCTTATTCCCCTGGGCTTTTTATTTTCCATGATCTTTCCCTTCCCGTTCATCCTGCCTTCTTTCTCTTTTCTATTCCTGGTTTGAGGGTTTCCACATTTGCTCCCCTTTATCTTTTCTTTCCTTCCACTATTAGTCCTTTTCTATATGCCTTTAGCTTTCTCCCACTGCCCCCAAAAGAAAGACTTTTGATGAGGACGCATCAGTCCTTGGAATTAGGTATTTTTCTAGGCAGTGAGGAGAAACTTGACTTGGAGGAGGATCAAAGAGAGATTGCTCTTCTCCATCAGAAAAGAAGTGATCCTCTAGGTTCTTCCCCACAGCACACCAGGTGACTGTTGAAGGTTGAAAGTCACCCTGCCAAACCCCATTCACTGGCCCTCCACGTGATTAGGCCTCCTCTCTTGCTCTTTGAAACCCTTCCCTTCACTATGTTGATAATCAACTCTCCTGGTTCTGGGTCATTTATTCCTAACTATTGGAGGAGGACTGAGAGGTTGCCAAATGAACTGGAAAGCCATCCCATCTTTGGAGAAACAGATTTGGAGATTAGAATTTAGAATTTCTGGGTCATGTCCATTAAATTCCTGTCCACTCTGACTTCAATTCCTATTGAGACAAATAGTCAGACAGACTTAAAAAACAAACAAACTGGGTTCCAAAATTTCTCTCTCTCTCTCTCTCAAATAAAATCTTAGATAAGAGTAAAAATAAGCACATATGGAAAAAACATATAATATTTGTAAAGAAACGTATCTATAGGAACAAATGAATGCCATTTACATGAGTTATACTTAAGTTGGTAATTACTTACTTAATACAAAGTATTTCATAAAAAAATTAGACATTAGTTTATGGAAATGTATCTATTTCATAAGAACTGAGTAAAACCAACTTTCAGACCTTTTCTAACTCTGAAAGTCTAATTTTATTGAGTGATTGATTGTTCAGGGCAACTGTTGAGAAAGATTGAGTCCAAGAGCCCTCATACTACATGACAATGTGATGTAAGAATGGAGAATATAAAGTTATTCATTTTTTAGCTAAGGAAATCAGTGAGATAAAAGTCTCATATGACACTGATGATTCAAAACCAGTCAGTTCCAAAATTAAATGAGCAGTACCTTTTTTTTTTTAATGTAAGGAAACTGGTGTTAAGATGAACAGTATTTTCCAAATTTCAGCAAAAAGCTTGGCAAGGTAGAAGGTATTTAACAGGAAAAGAAGAGCAGGACTCTAATCCAGGCCCTCCACTGAGTTATTAAGTTATTTCTCAAGTCCTTAATTTTCTCATTCATATAGGGTATCCCACAAAAATGTATACACACACTTTGAATAATTATAAAGGCAGTGTTTATTAAAATACATTTCATTTTCAAAATTGAATTATCAGCTGATAAAGTTTATATACATTTTTTGGGGGGAGGGGAGGAAACCTATATAATAGGAGTGGAATGTCCACTTGACCTGACCTAGATCTTGTTTCATGGAGAAAATACAATCAGAGAGACGAAGGCATTTTGATTATATTTCTTTCCGTGAACATGGGTAACACCATTAACCCTTTATTTCTCTTTGTTTTTGTCTTTTTTTAAGAGAGAAAACTCTCTTTTTTTAAAAAAAAATGTTTTTATTGATTTTAGAGAGAGGGGAAGGGAAATGGAGAGAGAAACATTGATTGGCTGCTTCCTACACACCCCCTACTGGGGATGAAGCCTGAAACCTGTGCATGTGCCTTGACTGGAAACCTCTCTGGGTGCAGGATGGCGCCCAACCAACTGAGCCACACTAGTCAGGGCTCTTTCTCTTTTTCTTATCAGAAAGGTAGTGTTGCATCATGGCTAAGAATCCAGGTAGATTTTCTGGGATTAAATACTTGCTTTGTCACTTACTAGCTGTGTTATATTGGGCAAGTTATTACATCTCTCTGTTGTTTAAGTTTCATTCCATATAAAATGAAGTGACAATAATAATGATGATGTTACTTCATAGATTTATAGAGATTAAATAAGTTAATGTGTGTGAAATGCATATGATTGTCCCAATATAAGAAGCATTTTAAATGTTAACTACAATGACCTTGATTTCCACTCAGTTTTACCAATGACCTTCACCTTCATGGATAACTGATGTCCATCATGCTTCTCATTGTTACCATGACCAAGTTTTACCTATTCTGACATTTCAATTCATGAATAGTTTCCCTTGCTATCCTGGCCATCTCTTCTCTCAATCATTCCAGCCTTCACCCGCATGAACAGGTTTGCCAATTAACATGACCTTTTTTCCCTCCCAGAGCACTTCTCTGTCATGTGATAACCATCAACTTCTTGCCCTACAGCTACTTAATAGGTTTGAACCAAATGGGATTCTGTTAATGACCTCCTAGCTACTTGTTCTTTTTTTTAGAATTATTATTGCCACTTTTTTTTTCCTTACTGGATTATTCCCTGGAGAAATAGAGATTTGTGTTTATCTTTATCAAAGTGATTATACCTTGTGAGGTCAGCCGCATCTGAGAGGAAAGAGGATTCAGGAGGAAAGATTGAAGAAGGTACGCAATGGCTTGGCAGGTAGCTGAGATAAAGGGGACTGATCTCATTACAATCCTACACGATCTTGTAGTTCCATTAAGGTTGTGAATCATTAGCTTAGACATAAGTTGTTAAGGACGTGGAGTGGAACAAATAGAGGGCACATGTACACAAGCTTTTAATCTATGCTCCAGGGAATTGTTATACAATAGCTGTAACAAGTGGGGTTAAAGAATTACTTATTTCTGGTTCCTTTGATTATTCTCCTTTTGACCTTGTCTAAGTCAGGTGACCAGATTCTCTTCTTCTCTTTGCCTCAGTGAAATAGAGGCCAGGACTATCATCACTCCGAAGCATCAAGCATGAATTACAAAGAGCTAAGCAATGAACAATAGCCACGGCTTCAAAAATGCATAACATGGGAGAAGAACCCAGCTTCATCTTGCAACCAGTCCACTAGGAAGTGTCTCTATGGAATGAACCAAGATTGCAGCCTGAGTATTCAGTGGCAACCTCAAAGGCATTGAAAGTCGGTGATAAGATGAAATTTAAGGAAGTTTTAATAAAACAGGAGGATAAAGTTTATCACAAGATTATTAGTTTTATGTGCCATGTAACACATTACCACAAATTACATGGACAGCAATATAAAACCGCATTTATTATCTCACATTGCCTGTGGAAGCATGGGCGTAGCTTAAGTAGGTCCTCTGCTTAGGGTCTCACAGGCTGCCGTCAAGGTGTCTGCTGGACTGGGTTTTCATATGAAGGCTCAACTGGGGAGGAATACACTTCCAAGCTCCCTCTGGCAAATTCATTTCTTTGTGGTAGTGGGATTCAAGTAAGTTTTTTTTTTCCTTTAAATTCAGGCAGAGAAAGAGAAGAGGGAGAGAACCTTTAGGCTCTATACCTTTTGTGGTCACATACACATGGTCACATACATACTCCAAGCCACAAATCCCACCCACATTCAAGGGCATGAACATTGGGAGGCAGGGATAATGAGACCCACTTTAAGTCTGTCAAGTCTGTCCAGCTATCTGCCCCACAAGGATTATAGAACTTATCCCCCTGGATTTTTACAAACAGGAGAAACACAAATGTCCATCAATGGGTGAATGGATGAAAAAATGTGGTCTATACATACAGTGAAATATTATTCAACCTTAAAAAGGAAGGGAATTCTGACACAGGCTACAACTTGGATGAACCATGAAGACATTATGTTAAGTGAAATAAGTCAGATTCAACATGACAAACGTATGCTTCCACTTATATGAGGTTCCTAGAGTAGCAAATACATAGAGACAGAGAATAGAATGGTAGTTTCCAGGAGCTGGGAGAAGGAAGGCATTAGTTAGGGCCTTCCAAAGAAACAGAACCAATAGGATGAGTATATTGAGAAAGAGATTGATTATAAGAAATTGGCTCATACAACTATAGAGGCTGGCAAATCTAAATGTGTAGTGCAGGCCAGCAGACTAGAGACCTGGGAAAATGATGTAGCTCCAATCCAAAGGCTGTCGGAGGAAGAAATTTTCTTATTTGGAGTAAGGTCAGCCTTTTGTTCTATTTAGGCTTTTGACCGATTGGATGAGGCCCTAAATTATGAAGGGAGATATGCTTTATTCTAGTGATTCAAATATTATTCTCACCCAAAACACCTCAAAGAAACACTCAGAAGAATGTTTGACCAAGTATCTGGGCACCTTGTGACCCAGACAAGTTGACAGATAAAAATCACCATCATAGGAGTTATTGTTTAATGAGTGCAGAGTTTCAGTTGGAGAAGATGAAAAAGTTCTGGAGATGAAGTGTGGCAATGGTTGCAAAACAATGTACTTAATGTCACTGAACTGTACACTAAAAATGGTTAAAATGGTGAAAGTTTTATGTACGTTTTACCACAAATAAACAAAGAGAGGAACTACTTGTTTCTATCAGGCTTGAACAGGGAAAAAATAAAATAAATAAAATAAATAAATAAATAAAAGGCTGTGCTAAAGAGCCAGATCACCCAGAAGACTGTGACTGATCTAACATTTAAATGCTCCAGGTTGTGGCTCCTCAATGTGAGCTTCTAGTTTGAGGGAAGTCAAGAAAAAATTTGAGGGTAACCCTCATGTGGGTGTTCTCTACCTCACACTCTACTTTTAAAGTCTTCTATGGAGTGGGTAGGCTCTGCTTTGGTGATCTGAAAAGTCTTTTACTGAATTATTTCAAGAGATGTTCATACTGAATCTATATCTCAACTGTCACCTTTGTTTTCTATTAACTGGCATAATTGAAAAACTTGTGAGCCGAGTTCTTGTCTGGCATCTGATAGAGAAGAAACATTCAACCTAAACTGTTTGGGCTTCAGTTCCACTTCCTCAAAATAAAATAACTGAGACAGATTTTTGCTAAATTAAAACCCAGCTTATGCTGTGTATGTGTTTATAGTTAAGAATCTCACCTATTGTCTACTTTTTGCAGACTATTACACAGTTTATATGGTGTGCCAGTGTAGTAGGAAAGAATGAATTTTATTAATAGAAAGGGATCTCTCCTTATTTTTAAAGGACTTGTCATTTTGTTGGTGAGGTGGAATAACATTAACAGAATTGAAATCAATGCATACACTGTGAGATATATAAAATGAGGGGAGAAAATAAACTAATGATGGTAATTTTACCGGTAGATGTTTAGTAGAGGGGATTGTTTTAGAGGGGATGTTTTTAAAGAAAGAAAAAAAAAAGAATTGTGTTTGAATGGAGTACAGGATTTGTAGAACTCATCACCAGATCCTGGTCTGCTTAAGTGAGCTTCCCATGGCTATTGAACCAAAGGAAAATGAATGATTATGTTCTCCTAGGACTTGGTGAATGATGGAGAAGAATGTCTGAGAGATTATCTCAATCTTAGGCCTCTTCTCAAGAATACAGTTCTCTTAGCATAATATTTTTCTTTTATGGTTAAGAAGCTATAGAGGGAAAATAAGTAAGAGTTTTATCAGTAAACCCATATAGGCATCCTTATGGAGAGTCAAGTCAATCACGTATAAAACAAAATTCTTTGACAGGCAATTCATCTGTGTTGAATATTACTATTATTAATATTAATAATTATCAATAATTGGGTTCTCATTGTGCTTGAAGTACAAAGCTTAGCATTTTCACCCAAGATTCCATTTGAATCCCAACAACATGTCTCAGTTTATAGACAAAGACAAAGGTTCAGACTGTTAAGTAATTCCCCAAGATTATAGATCAAAGGATTAGCCAAGGAAATATTTGAAGCTAGCTCCATCTGACTCCAAAATTTTCTCTGCTGCTATGCTATACTGTCGGTCACTATGGCTGACTTTAAGAGCCATACGTGATAAATCCAAGAATTCCTGTCTTATTGGCAATTAAAAGTCAAAATTAAAAAGGAAAATGTGAGACTTATAAAAGACACAGTGTAGAGATAACCTACTACAATGAAATAAGCAAGCAAATATAGACATTGGAATCACACAACTGGTCTAAATGCACACTTTCCCACAAATTTAATGTGTCTTACTAATTTAAGTTTCAGTTTTCTTGTCTGAAGAGTGGGTACAAATTCCTCTCCTCTAATGCTCTTGGAAAATACAGTTTTTCCTTTCATAAATTACTTAGTGAAATATCCTGAAATACCCTCAGAAGCACCACTTTCCCCTCCTGCAATAGAAATAACCCAAGAATTTGCGTCAGTAAATATGAAGCAAAGCCTCTCCTTCCTCCTACCGATGATTGAGTCATTCTATTAGATAGCAGTAGCTATTTAAACACTCCAGCAAAAGCTCAGACATTTTCACTTTGTAGAAGTCCTTGACTGCTTCACTTTCTCATTCTTGGAATGAATTTGGGTATGATTTTTGATGACTTCAAGAGCAAGACTATGAAGGATCAACCTGATCAGTGGACAAATGGAGGGAAAGCTAAAGGTAAGGAGGGGGTGAATGAATCCCAGAATTAGCCTTAAAATGTATTAAGTGAATATAAGATTAAAGAGCTAAAACACTTAACTATAGAATTAAAAACATTTACTTAAAAGAAAAGCAGCCTTAACCAGTTTGGCTCAGTGGATGGAATGTTGGCCTGGAGACTGAAGGGTTCCAGGGTCAATTATGGTCAAGGGCATGTACCTTGGTTCTGGGCACATCCCCAGTAGGGGGTGTGCAGGAGGCAGCTGATTGATGTTTCTCTCTCATCGAAGTTTCTAACTCTCTATTCCTCTCCCTTCCTCTCCGTAAAAAAATAAAAATAAAAAAAAATCAATAAAATAAATTTTTTTAAAAAAGAAAGTAAAAATAAAAAAATCAATAAAATAATTTTTTTTTAAAAAGAAAGTAAAGCAACTTGGATACAATAGAGATGATGATGATAAAGATGAAGAATGGACTAACTTAAGCAACTTGGATACAATGGAGATGATGATGATAAAGATGAAGAATGGACTAACTTGTTTTGCATGATGATGTAGTAGATAATGATGATAACTAACTTTTATTGAACATTTACTACATCCTACACTATTCACTTTAGATGCATTATTTCTCTGAATCTTCACTCCTTGAGATTAAGATTATTATTATTATTATCTTCTTTTTACAGAGGACTAGCTAGGGATTGGGTTCCACTGAATTACCCATCTTTATGCAGCTGGTAAATGGTAAAGCTAGGATTGTATCACAATATTCCATTTATTCAGAACCCAATGCATCAGATGGTTCAAAAAATGCGAATTCACTCAGAGTATTCAGTGATAATTTTTATAATAGCCTTCAAGGCATTGCAAAAACTGGATACATTTCATAAATTATCCAAAGCAGATAAAGTAATATTCAGTATGAGTTAGTATAAATTATGTTTTATTGTACCCCACTGCCTTGAAAAATTATAATTTGTTTGATATACACAGTAGGTTAAATTGCTTAATTAAAAATTAATTCATAATCCTAAATCCACAGACAATCTACATAAACTGCCTTTTATTTTATATCCATTCTGAGAGAACAAAATATAAAAGAGGGAATTCATACAAATGAAGTCATACAAATTTAGATAAGAAATTCCAGGTCATGTTTTCATAAACAAAACATAAATTTCTCTCAGTAGCAAAAATAAGTGTGGACATGGAATAATTTAACATTTGCGCTGATAAACTTAACTATGAAAATAGTACTGGCATTAATAGGTAAACCTGCAAGTTAACAGTAGTCATTTGCTCATTCATTCATTCATTCATTATTCATGTAGTAAATACTGATGCCTGACTGTTATTACAATTTTGAAGTAAATTCTTTTCTTAGACCCTGTTTAGATCGGTCACTTACTGCACAAGATCTGATTGCTTTCTGTTTAGAAAAATACTACTGTGAGTAGGGGTTGGATGAATGGTCTCTACTTACCAAGGAGACAGGACAAAGGGTGGTCTATAGAAAATGGGGACATGTGCCTTCCCTGCCCTGGAGTGTGACCTGTGACTTCTAAAAATTCAGGAGTTTCATCACCCAAATCTTCTTCTAAGACTTTTATGGTTTTGCAACTTACATTTAAGTCTTTTATGCATCTTGAGTATATTCTTATGTATACTCCCCGCACCTGCCCCTCCGAGGCCTTCACCACGCTATTGTTTGGGTCCATGAGCTATGCATATCCTATATAATAAGAGAGGAATATGCTAATTAGCTGATTAGTTCTGTTCCACTGATATATGCCTGTTCTTGTGCCAGTACCAGGCTATTTTGATTATAGTGGCTTTGTAGTATAACTGGTATTGTGATCCCTCTGACTTTGTTCTTCTTTCTCAAGATTGCTGCTGTTATTCGGAGTGTTTTTGGTTCCATATAAATTTTTGGAGTGTTTGTTCTAGATCTGTGAAATATGATGTTAATATTTTAATAGGTATTTCTTTGAATCTATGGATTGCTTTGGATAGTATGGACATTTATTTTAAAATTTATCTTTATTGTTAAAAGTATTACAGATGTAGCCTTTGTGTTTTTTTCTCATTGACCCCATCCACCCTGCACCTGCCCCTCTGAGGCCTTCACCACGCTATTGTTTGGGTCCATGAGCTATGCATATCCTATATAATAAGAGAGGAATATGCTAATTAGCTGTTACGCCCTGAGGTGTAACGACCAAGGGCATCACGACCAGATCACAGATCAGCAGGAGGGTGGGCCAGCTACCCCACCTCTGCCTTCCCTCTGGAGTTCATCAGTCTGTTCCATGCTTCTATGTCTTGGTCCACCAATTCATGAACACAGTATATTCTTCCAATAAACAATATCTTCCTCTACCTATTTTTTTCAATGTTCTGTATTTTTCTGAATACAGGTCTTTTACCTCCTTGGTTAAGTTTATTTCTAAGTATCTTATTTTTTTTTGTTGTTGCAATGGTAAATGGGATTGTTTTTTTAGTTTCTCTTTCTGAGAGTTCATTATTGGTGTATAAAAATGCCATCAATTTCTGGGTGTTAATTGTGTATACTGCTACATTGCTGAATTTATTTATTACATCTCATAGCCTTTTGGTGGAGCCTTTCGGGTTTTCTGTGTACAATATCATGTCATCTGCAAATAATGACAGTTTTACTTCCTCCTTTCCAATTTGGATGCCATTTTTTCTTCTTATCTGATCATGGTGGCTAGGACTTCCAGTTCTATATTGAATAGGAGTGGTAAAAGTGGACGTGCCTGTCTTGTTCCTGTTCTTAGGGGAAATGGTTTTAGTTTTTGCCCATTGAGTATGATGCTGGCTATAGGTTTGTCATATAAGGCCTTTATTATGTTGAGGTATGATCCCTCTATTCCCACTTTGTTGAGAGTTTGTATCAAAAAAGGATGTTGGACCCTAACAGGTTTGGCTCAGTGGATAGAGCATCAGCCTGTGGACTGAAAGGTCCCGGGTTTGATTCTGGTCAAGGGCATGTACCTTGGTTGTGGGCACATCCCCAGTAGGAGGTGTGCAGGAGGCAGTTGATCGATGTTTCTCTCTCATCGATGTTTCTAACTCTCTATCCTTCTCCCTTTCTCTCTGTAAAAAATAAATAAAAAATATATTTAAAAAAAGGATGTTGGATTTTATTAAATGCTTTTTTTGTATCAATTGATATAATCATGTGATTTTTGTCTTCCAATTTGTTTATGTGATGTATCACATGTATTGATTTGTGAATATTGTATCAGCCTTGCATCTTTGAAATAAATCCCACTTGGTCACGGAGTATGATCTTTTTAATGTATTTCTGGATTCAATTAGCTAATATTTTGTTGAGGATTTTAACATCTATGTTCATCAGGGATATTGGCCTAGAATTCTCTTTCTTTGTATTGTATTTATCTGGGTTTGAAATTAGGCTAATGCTGGTCTCATAAAAAAAGGTTGGAAATGTTACTTCCTCTTGGATTTTTTGGAATAGTTAAGGAGTATAGTTAGTTCTTTGAATGTTTGGTAAAACTCCCTTGTGAAGCCATCCATCTGTCTCAGGGCTTTTGTTTGCTGTAAGATTTTAAATTACTGCTTCAAATTCATCAGTAGTTATCAGCCTTTTTAGGTTTTCCCATTTTTTTCTGTTTGAGTTTTGGAAGATTGTATTTTCTAGGAATATGTCCATTTTGTCCAGGTTTGTTCAACTTGTTGGAATATAATTGTTCATAGCATTTTAAAAAATATTTTTATTGATTTCAGAGAGAAAGGGAGATAGAAACATCAATGATGAGAGGGAATCATTGATTGCCTGCATCCTGCACATCCCACATTAGGAATCAAGCCAACAACCTGAAATCGAACCATGACCTCCTGGTTCATAGGTTGATGCTCAACCATTGAACCATGCCAGTCGGGCATGTTCATAGTATTTTTTTATGATCATTTGTATTTCTGTAATGTCAACTGTTACTTCACCTCTTCTTTTTGATTTTTTTTTTAATTTGGGTTCTTTCTCTTTATTTCTCGATGAGTTTGACTATAATTAATCTTGTTAACTGATCTTTTTGTATTTTAGTCTCCATGTCATTTATTTCCACTCTGATCTTTATTTCCTTCCTTCTACTTACTCTGGGATTTTCTTGTTATTCTCTTTCTAATTATTTAAGTTGTAGGGTTAAATCATTTATCAGAAGTTTTTCTTGTTTTTTGAGGTGGGCCTGTAATGCTATGAACTTCCCTGTCATGACTGCTTTCACTGTGTCCCATAGATTTTGGGTTGTTGTGTGTTCATTTTCATTTGTTTCCCGGAAGTTTTTTTATTTCTTCCTTGATCTCTTTGGTAACACATTCATTGTTTAATACCATGCTATTTAGCCACCATGTGTTTTAATGGCGGGGCAGGGGGGGCGGAGGGAGAAAGAAAAAAAGTGAAATGGTATTCATCTCAACAGAGTTTAGTGCCTCCTGGTATCTCTCTTTGGATCCTGCTCTTCTGATGACTGACTGACTGCTCTGTCTGCCAATTCTGGGCTTCCTGGGAGATACTTAGGTACTAACCACTGTCAGAAACTGTCCTCCTTTGGCTTCCACCAACCTGCTTGAAGTTCCAAGTGACCCACAGTTTACGTCTGTCTCCATAGGACTTGGCTGCATGCAGAAGGAGTCAAGCTGCCCTATAAAGTAGGTTTGTTAGCAGCATGGGGTGCAGGTCTGGGCCAGTAAGCTTCCCCAGGCTTTCCAGGCTCTGCCTCTGCCTGCCTTTGCTTGACAGCGTCATTCTTAATCACTGAAAAATCTGTTCCTGAAAGGACTTTAGTCAGAATCAGGAATCTAGACCTCCGGGCATCCCATAAGGGGGAGGTGCTGTTCATATTTCAGGGCAAGTGGTAAATATGTTTCACTGTCCCAGAGCTACTCCTCTAGGAGTAGCTCGGAATATTACTCTGCCCTTGGCTGGGCAGAGACCCTCGTATGCAATCCAGTGAGATCAGCTGGAAACCTGGAGTTTCTATCAGCTCTCCCGCATGGGGGCGGCCCCAGTCAGGTTCTGGGGATAATGGGGCAGATGGTCCCACCCCCAACCCAGTCACAGACACTCCCTGAGACTTTTCAAACCCTTAGGCTTGGCCTCTGCTGCATTCTCCTTTGCAAACGTCAAGCTGCAGGGTGTGGCAGTCAGGGCTCCTGAGGGTGGGGCCGGCTATATCACCTAGGGAAGAGTTTTTCCTTTTCCTGAGCTTCAGCTATTGGGAGCAGCTAGCCCCTCTCAGGAAAAAAATGGCCCTTTCGGGTTGGGAGCCTGTGACGGAGTGCAGCACTCCCGACGGCTGCTTTTCCATGTCTCCCCCCAGTGCTTCCCTCTCCACCCTCTCCTTAGTCACCTCGAGTCCACGCCGCAATCCCTGCACCAAAGCCTTGGGTAAGTAGCTACAAATGAAAATTCTTATGCTCTGGGGCGAGGGGTGGGGACAGAAACAGGTTTTCTCTCCGACTGGCTCGGGTCTATGGGCTCTGGACTCCACTGCAGCCAACAGCCCTGTCGCCTTTCATGGCTGGATATTACATGGGCCACTGGTCTTGGGTGTGGTGCTCCGAGTTGTGGAGCCCAGATTGGGTTCTGGGCCTTTGTCTTCTAAGGGAAAAGACCCTCCAGTAGTGATCCTTCCTCACTCTTGGCCTGCCGCAGGCCTGCTGGGTCAGCCCCTCTCAAGACTTTGCCCTTCCTACTGGTCTCCAGGTGTTTTCTGTCCTTCTTCATACAAGTGTCCTCCTCAGCTGGCCTTCAGTTGGTAATTCCAGGTGTATGTTCCTCACTTTAGCTTTATTTCCAGTCTTGCCCTTGAAAGAGGTACAAGAAAGGTCTGCCTATCCACGATTCTCTCTCATTGATGTTTCTACCTCTCTCCCTCACCCTTCCTCTCTCTGAAATGAATTTTAAAAAATGCATTAAAAAAAAAAAAAAGGTCTGCCTATTTGGCTGCCATTTTCTCTCCTCTCTCACATCATCCAGAAATGCTTTTGACACATGAGAGAACTCTGTGAATATATTTGATCATTGATTGATTGATTGATATCATTACATGTTTACACTGGATAAAGACCTAAGTAGGGTCTTAATGTCTGTGTGATCTTAGCAAGTCACTAAACTTTTCAGTTTGCTTATTTGCATATACAAGGTAACATCAGTGCCTTACTTATTTATCTCACAAGATGAGAAGTCCAAATACATTATATGAGATGTTTTCCTGCTAAACCAAAATATCTGTGCTTTTTTAGTGGTAGAATGCATAATTAGTCATACACAAATATGTGAGTTACATAATTTTGCTTCTATATTAATAGTGAATATTTTTCTTTTTTTTTTTATAATTAAATCTTTATTGTTCAGGTTACATTTGTTCCTCTTTTTTTCCCCCCCATAACTCCCCTCCTCTCAGTTCCCGCCCCACCCTCCGCCCTCACTCCCCACCCACTGTCCTCATCCATAGGTGCACGATTTTTGTCAAAAAACGGTGTGAGTTACATAATTTTGCTTCTTCTTTCCTCGTGAATATTTTTCTTATAACAAAAGGGCCACAGCTGGTGTAAATATAGAACATGGAATTAATATAAGTCAAATGAATATTGAGGTTTCATTTCCAGTTTTCTTTGCCCAGTAATCTCAGTTCCAAGATGTAATTTTAATGAAGAGTTGAATAGCACAAAATTATGTTGTAATTCTTTGAGATGATACCAGTTAATTGATTAAAGCTTATTGCTTAACATCAGATATTCATATATATATTATCCTAATAAAGAGGGAATATGCTAATTGACCTTCATGCCATCGCAAAGATGGCGGCGCCCACAGCCAATAAGGAGGGAATATGCTAATTGACTGCCACACCCTCAAAGATGGTGGTGCCCACAGCCACAAGATGGCCAGCAGGGGAGGGCAGTTGTGGGTGATCAAGCCAGCAGGAAGGGCAGTTAGGGGTGACCATGCCAACACGGGAGGGCAGTTGGGGGTGACCAGGCTTGCAGGGGAGGGCAATTAGGGGTGACCAGGCCAGAAGGGGAGGGCAATTAGGGGCGACCAGGCCGGCAGGGGAGGGCAGTTGAGGGTGACCGGGTGATCAGGGGAAGGCAGTTGGGGGTGATCGGGCTGGCAGGGAGTGGTTAGGGAGTGATCAGGCTGGCAGGCAGAAGCAGTTAGGGGCAATCAGGCAGGCAGGCAGGAGAGCAGTTGGGAGCCAGCAGTCCCAGATTGTGAGAGGGATGTCTCACAGGGATCGGGCCTAAACCAGCAGTCAGACATCCCCCAAGGGGTCCCAGATTGGAGAGGATGCAGGCTGGGCTGAGGGATACCCACCCCCAGTGCACAAATTTCATGCACCGGGCCTCTAGTGTTTTATAAAACACTGTGTGTGTGTGTGCGCGCGCGTGTGTGCACACGCACACACAGATTTGGCCTACATTGAAAACAAGTTGATCTAACCAAGCTGGACTGAGAATTTCATTGTCAGGGGGAGTAGACAAAGTACAAGCTTTAGAATCAGATACTTAGGGTCAAATATCTGGTATTGAATCCTGGATCTTCAATTGTGTCAGTTGTGTGGCAGTAAATTATTTAAGTTCTTTAATTGTCCAGATTTTTCATCTGTAAATATGGATAGTGCATTATTTGCAGAGTCTTTGGGAGGACTAAAAGTAAGTAATACAAAGTACCAGGTATACCAGTAGACAAGATCCAAAGAATGATTTGATTACTTGCTTCTATCTTTTCTGTTTTTCTGATTCTGTTCTCTGTCATTCTAGGTCTTCGTTGTCTTTCTTCTCAGCGGTGGTGCCCTGTGGCTGTGACGCTAGGGATCCTTTGTCTGGGTTTACTGGTGACCATCATAATGCTGGCAGTGCAATGTAAGTGCCCACACAAGGAAGTGGCACAAGGAGGGAAAAGATGAGAGTTTATAAACATGGTTTGTAAATTGGTTTCAGAATACCTATAAACAACCTTGACTTAGATACATTTTAAGAAAACTGTTTTTAGATGTGTGGGAAGATGAATGGGTATATTGTTCTAGTCTCTCAAATTGTGACATGGAATGAAGATTATGAATTGTAGGTTTTTGTTTTGAGTAATTTTCATAGCTTCATAGATAGAGCCTACGTAAATCCTAAAACAATGAGGGCGAAAATAATTTGAAGTTAATTATCCACAAGATCATCTGAGAGACCCAAAAGTAAAAGAAACCTCATTTAGCTACTGTTGAGTTTTAATAGAGATGATTAAATACCTATTTAAAGTTAAGAACTGGAAACAGTTTTAATAAGTACAACATTTTAATAAAATACTTCAAATTTCTTGTATGGATATATTGGAAAGAGGTTATTTCTGGGGAAAAGAAATGAAAGAAGGATGAAAGTGGCCAAGAAGGAAAGAAAATGATGTCGAGTACCCACTTCATCCGCCTGTGTATTGAGATTGTAGATCTGAGTTATTTCGGCTGCCTAGACCCAGGTATTAAGGCGTTTCAAGTGCTATTTGTTTTTCAATTGTTTAGGGTCACAACCATTTACGTTTCAATTGATGTAACACTAAGGCCTTTCCTGATGATGGGAGAAGTGTCTTTGACCAGTGGTGGTGATTGGAAGAGTCTTACTCTGAGGCTCTGATTACTTTACAACAAGCTCAAACCTGGCCTGCAAGGCAAGGAGACTACTTTGTTACTGAATCATCAAGCTTCTAGAACTGAGATATTTGACCCTTAACATTTTTTTTGCCTGTTTGATTTCACAACTTTTATTGCATCTCCACCCTTCCTAAAATATGCTGTGGCAAAAAAAAAAAAAAAAAAAAGTTTGAGACTCTTGTGACATAGCCACTTAAAATAGTCCTGCAGGAAGGTGTCTCAAAAAAGGGTATCTTAGTTCTTGAATAAAATCAGGAAGTCTAGAAAATGTAGAAAGAGATGACAGAAGAATGAAGACACAAATATAGTAAATGATTAATGATTTTCCTACTAATAGTCATTAATTCTGGTTGGTGACTATTTCTAGATTGTCTACATTTTATTAGTGCCATTGATACTTATCGTGGTATTGCTTTTAACTTGTGTGTAACTCTCAGTAACAAGTAAAACCTTGATGATTTTTTTAAATCACAAGTGTCTGTGACAGTTCCTGATATAAAAAAAAATACTATAGGAATGTCAAAGAACTTGCAAATCCATAATGGTTGAGTAACTTTTGGTCATTCTCCAGCAATTTATCTGTTATCAAAATAGATTATTTGATTTAGTTCTTTGATTACTTAAATATCTAGTGGAGGGACTTTTATTGGGGATTAGAAATGAAATCTTTCTTAACCCAGCTGTAATTTAGTATCCCAGGTGTCTGATCTTCTAAAGCAACAGCAAGAAAACCTTACTCACCAGGAAAATATACTGGAGGGACAGAGTTTAGCCCAGAAACAAGAGGAAAAGGCTTTCCGTGAATTACAGAGGAAACTCAAGGAAATGAATGAAAACCTTACCCAGGAGCTGGACGAGCAATCCAAAAAACAAATGGAACTTCATCACCAGAACCTCAATCTCCAAGAAGCTCTGAAAAAGGCAGCAAATTTTTCAGGTATAAAGTTGGAAGCTCCTCTAATTAATCTTAACTCTCTTTTGGAAAAGCCTCTAGGCACAAAATTGGCATATTGATATATGTATCATCTATATATACAAAAGCTTAAGCAACCAGCCAACTGGCCAACCATTCCACTGTCTGCCCAGTAGCTAGGATGTGCACTGACCACCAGGGGTGCAGGTGATCAACGCAGGAGCGGAAATCATAGGCATGGAAACATGGAACAGACGGATGAATCTCAGAGAGAAGTGGGGAGGGTGGGAAGAGATTAATCAAAGATCTTATATGCATACTAGAGGCCCGGTGCCTGGCCTGCACCCTCTCGCAATCCAGGACCCCTCAGGAGAACTGGTTTTGGCCAGGTCCCCACAGGCCAGGCCGAGGGACCCCAACGGTGCACGAATCCATCCACCAGGCCTCTAGTTATTTACATAATGTTATAACTTCATTTCATAATGTTCTACACCAGAAGTTCTCTATTTCTGTCATCCCCACCCTATCCTCCCTCAAGTTCTTGAGATGCCTGATTTCATAAAGCACACTTTTGTTGAATTTAAGTTTGCTTTCCTCATAAGAGTCTTCTTCCATTTTAAAATTCTAGTTTTGAGATTTTTCTGGAAGAATCCTTCTTCCCTTACCCCTTGCCACAGATTCTTATCTGCTTTCATTCCAATGTATCTCAGTCATTTTTTTTTTCCTAAACAATCTCCTTTGTCCCTGGAACTCCTACCTCTGCATTAGCTTTGTTCTATAGCAAAATTTCTTAAAGTGTACTACATCAATTTAAATTGAATCAATGAAGCTACACTGGCTTGGAAGTGTTAGGTAGATACTTCAAATTAGACAAAAATATAACGGGCCCAGGAAGTTAGTTTATATGAGAAGAATTGAATTGATCTCAGCTATATAATTGACTCAGACTCTAGGAGGTGGGTAGAAATAGTAGCATCTACAAGAAGGAGATGACAATGTGAACTCAGGTTGTTACAGAAATTATCTGATTTATTTCGCCTTCCTATAATATGTAATTAAGTCGGGCATATGCTTTTAGTCATAAGGAGAATTAGAGGGTGTGAAATGAAGTATGTTGCTTCCTTGAAGGCATTGAATGAGTCCTACTCTAAGCATTAATAACTACAGGTAAAAACTACTAGTAAAAAAAGGTATCTCCAGTTCTTGCTTGTATAGCTCAGTTAATCTTAACCATGTGATTTCTTTAGATATTAAGTAATAACAGTCCACGGATAGCCACAGATTTCTTTATTTTATAGATGAAAACTTGAAACCCAGATAAGTTAAATGATAATAACTTCTTTTGTATAAAGTTTTGCAGTTTATTAATCCCTTTAACATTGATAAGGTTATTTAATTTTTAAAATATATTTTTGTTGATTTCAGAGAGGAAGGGAGAGGGAGAGAGAGATAGAAACATCAATGATGAGAAAAAATCATTGATCGGTTGCCTCCTGCCCCCCAAAAAAAAAGTTGCCCCCCGCCCCCCCCCCCCCCTTCCCCCTACTGGGGATCAGGTCCACAACCCAGGCATGTGCCCTGACTGGGAAAGAAACCGTGACTTCCTGGTTCATAGGTTGATGCTCAACCACTGAACAAAACTGGCAGGGTATAAGGTTATTTAAACTTCCAAAATCAGCCGAAATTTTTAGACAAAATAATCTTTAGCTTTTGTCAAACATATTTAATCTCTTTAAGAAGGGAGTTATCAAGGAAATAAAAGAATACCCCATGTCAAAGAAGGCTTAAAGGAAGAAGGCTAGTATATCAAGGATACGAATGTTTATATAAGCAGACATAGCTACATTCCAGCCAAAGATTTATTTCACAGGTGGATCTATAAAAACATTTTTGTTTTTATAAGTTGCATGGGATTAAATTTACATCAGGACTATGCAGAGCCATCTCCCAGAGACGCCAGTCATGGATAACTGATTTTCTATCCCTCTCTCCCTCTCATTTCCTCTCTCTGACATCAATTAAAAAAAAACTTATTTAAAAAATATATCCTGCCTAATTGCTCAGGGCTGGTGGCCATGCCTGTGAGAACCACAGGGGTGAAGGGCCAGGGCAGCTAGGGAGGAAAGTGCCTGGTGAATGCCAGGTGTTGTTAACTAAACACATAGACATTGACAAATATTGCCTATTGCCTAAGTCTTCAGTTGAGGTTTTTGGACTCTGAGGATTTTGCAACTGAAAACTCCCTGTTTTCTGAAATCTTACTGAAATTAAGATGCTCACTTTATGTCAATATATTGTTCTCCCTAGAACATCTTTATTTTTTTTAATTTAAAGTGTAACTTTATTTTATTTTTTAAATATATTTTTATTGATTTCAGAGAGGAAGGGGGAGGGAGAGAGAAATAGAAACATCAATGAATGATGAGAGAGAACCATTAATTGGCTGCCTTCTGCATGCCACACACTGGGGATAGAGCCTGCAACCCGGGCATGTGCCCTTGACCAGAATTGAACCCAGGACCCTTCAGGCTACAGGCTGACACTCTACCCACTGAGACAATCCAGCTAGGGCTAAAACATCTTTATTTAATAGAAATATAGTATTGTCACATATGCAACATTAAATATTCTAGTAACCACACTTAAAAATTAAGATGAAACATAAAATTAACTTTAGTAACATTTTATTTCACCCAATATATTTGAAATAGCTCTTATTTTTTTTAAATTTTTTAAACATTTTATTTTTACTTTTAAAAATATATTTTTGTTGATTTCAAAGAGGAAGGTAGAGGGAAAGAGAGAGAAATATCAATGATGAGAGAAAATTATTGATCGGCTGCCTCCCGCACACCCTTTACTGGGTGTCGAGCCTGCAAACCGGCATGTGCCCTTGCCCTGAATGGAACCCGGGACCCTTCAGTCCACAGGCTGACGCTCCATCCACTGAACCAAACCAGCTAGTGCTGAAATAGTTTTTGAACACTAGTGAGTATAAAAATTACTAATGGGATATTTCATATGATTTTTTCATACTAAATTTTCAAAATCATGCCTGTGTTTTACACTAATAGCACATCTTAATGCAGACTAGCCATGATTCAAGTACTCAAGAGCCACCTATGGGCTACTACATATACAGCATGTGTCTTAAATAAGGAGGCATAGTATTTAAGCCTAAACCCACTATTCAAAGACATGAAGTTTTAAAATACATAAGCATAACTTTTAATAGCAGACTGGCTATTAAGTATTCACTTCCCTACTGTTCACTTCCATTATTCCAAACTTAACTTTAAAAAAATAGAGCAGATTCTAAAATTACATCACAGCCCAAGCTTTGCTTTTTAGCAGCCTTACTTCTAATTTAATTTACTAAAATCAGAATGCTTTTTCTTTTGCTTTAGAAAAGGGAGGTATTTGCAGAGTCTGGGTATAATCTAAGAAGAGATGGTATGAATTCTGAGGGGACACTTGATTTAAGAATTATAGGAAAAAATGTTTTTAAAGAATTATGGAAATATTTTCCTCAGGCATAACTCCACTGATGAGATATTCTACACTTCCTAGGTCCTTGTCCCCAAGATTGGCTCTGGCATGAAAAAAACTGTTACCAATTTTCCTCTAGTTCATTTAATTGGGAAAAAAGCCGGGAGAACTGCTTGTCTTTGGATGCCCAGATGCTGATAATTAATAGCACATATGATCTGGTGAGTTTTTATGGATGTGTGTTAGGGTGGTATATTGGTTTCTCTCAATGGTTCTCAACCTGTGGGTCGCGACCCCTTTGGACCATCAGAAAACACATATATAATTACATATTGTTTTTGTGATTAACCACTATGCTTTAATTATGTTCAATTTGTAACAATGAAAATACATCCTGGATATCAGATATTCACATGACGATTCATAACAGTAGCAAAATTACAGTTATGAAGTAGCAATGAAAATAATTTTATGGTTGGGGGTCACCACAACATGAGGAACTGTATTAAAGGGTCGTGGCATTAGGAAGGTTGAGAACCACTGGTTTAGAGGAAAATAAATCAGGTTTAGGACCTGGGTGGAGGAGCCCTTGTTTGAGAATCAGAATACCTATGTCCTAGCCTAGCCATGGATTCCATACATGACCTTTGATGGACAGGTTATGGAGTATCTATAGTTTTCAGTAAACCTTTCTGTAAAACCACCAAGAAGATGCCAAAGATCTCATTTGGTTCTTTAGTTTTGTGACTCTGTAAAACACTGAACTCCAACACCAACTCAGAAATGTTGCTCCTCACAGGACTTCATCAAACAACTCACTGCTCATTCCAGCTCCCCCTTCTGGACGGGGTTAAGTAAGAGGAATCCAAGCTCCTCGTGGAGCTGGGAGGATGGCTCTCCTTTGATGCCCAACGTGTAAGTTTTCCCTTCTTTGCTGAACCCACTAGTGAAGTTGCCGCAGCATCCCCCACAATGTGCTCTTCTTGCCAGAGAGAAGCTTGGGGACTTCTGAGAGTCTCCTCTGGAGACGACCCTTCCTTGGAGTTTTCCTTCCCTCTTTTATTACAGATTTGAAACTTTGAGACAGGACCACATTCCTGCCACAAGGTGGCAGTAATCTACTTTTCTTTTGTGTCCCCACCTACAGGTTTAGATTCAGAGCTCTTTCCCAGAGGAATCCTTCAGACACCTGTGTATATATACAAAATGGAAACCCTTTTGCCGAGAGCTGCATATTAACTGCAAACAGTATATGTCAGAAGAAGGCGACTTTGTTGAGAGCACAATGAATTTGAAGGCTCCGGAAGAAAGGGAGGAGCCCATCTTTGAATTCTCTTCTGGAATTTAAGCTATTCTTCCTCACTTGGTTGCAAACTGTGAGAGCCCTGAGAACAGGCATTAGCTGACTGTAGAGCTCTTTAGAGAAAGTGGGGCCCCAGTTGCCTGATACCTTTATAACAAAAGTTTTGACTCTATCTCTGTCTACATTTTTTCTTTAAAAAAATATTTATTTTATTGATTTTTTACAGAGAGGAAGGGAGAGGAATAGAGAGTTAGAAACATCGATGAGAGAGAGAGATGAGAGAGAAACATCGATCAGCTGCCTCCTGCACACCCCCTACTGGGGATGGGCCCACAACCAAGGTATATGCCCTTGACGGGAATCGAACCTGGGACCCTTTAGTCCAAAGGCCGACGCTCTATCCACTGAGCCAAACCAGTTAGGGCTGTCTACGTTTTTTCACTTATCTTGTCCAAAGCCTCCCAACCAGCCTTTGGTCCCTCTTCTTTTTTTATTTTAAAGTTTTGCTCCTTTCCAAACCTTGGGAACCCTCTCTACATCAGTGCCATCATTCCCTCGCCCTCCTAAAGCTGCATAGAAGATAGAACAGAGAAGAGTTGCCCAACTGCAGATAGAGGGCAATAAAGGGGAAGCATGCATGGGAAACAGCCATGAAGAAACTGAAAAAGGGAAAGGTCATACTGGAATCCAGAAACGCACGTTCTCAATGTTAAAAGTGATCACTTGGTGGTCTTTGAAATCGTGGTCTCTCTCCAGACTCTCTCGCTTACACACACACACACACACACACACACACACACACACCCTATATCTTCACATTAGAAAGTAATTAGAAATTGGGTGGTCTTTTCTGTGACCTAGTCTACAATTAAGTATCAGTTCCTGAATTAGTTATTTCTTCATCTTTTCTCTACCAAAGGATAGCTTAATACCTTTATTTTGTATTTGTTAGATTCATGAGTAGGATGGCCCAGAGGGAAAAATAGTTGATTTTTTTTTCACTAAAATACAAACCTTTTATTGATGAACTCTTCTTAATTCTGTTACACTATGCTATAATGCAGAAACATACAGGATCAAAAACGAACGACAATCAATTCTAAAACAAACTGAGCCAGGTATGGAAATATCACTGAACAGAAACAAATGGAATTAGAAATATTCTATTTTCAATGTTTTTACTACTTTCTCCCACAGTTTAGCCTTTGCATCCTATGACACATAATCTAGCACCAATTTATTTTTAAAAAATCTCTATCATTCCTAGAAAAACAAGAGACATTTTCTTTTATTAACAGATTTATAATAAACTAAACATATGTAAAGTGCACAATCAATAAGTTTTTTATTTATTTATATGCTACTTTTATTTCTGTAAGGATACACTGAAACGTTAGATGATATTAGCTAATGACAAAATGTAGAAATGAGGCATCGGCTTCTCTAACCATAGCTACAAGAATGTTAATATGTATTGTCATTACATGTTCACTTTGATATCATCCCATTCTATTATGTAATACTAGAGGCCCAGTGCATGAAATTCATGCATGGGTGAGGGGGGGTCTTCTCCAATCCGGACCCCTCAGGGGATGTCTGACTGCCTCTCACAATCGGGGATCGCTGGTTCCTACCCGCTCACCTGCCTGCCAGCCTGATCACCCCTAACCCCTCTGCCTGCCTGATCACCCCTAACCCCCTCTGCCTGCCTGATCACCCCTAACCCCCTCTGCCTGCCTGATCACCCCTAACCATCTCTGCCTGCCTGCCTGATTGCCCCTAACTGCTCCCCTGCTGGCCTGAGCACCCCTACCCTCCTCTGCCTCGCCCCATACCTGGGACCCAGGATTCCCTCCTCTGGCTGGTTGCAGGTACCCAGGACCCGGGCTGGCCACAGCCACAGGGGACCATGGGCAGGCGACTTTGCCTGGGCCATAGCTGCAGGTGCTGGAACCTGGGACTGCGGGGCGGATGCCTTGTCCCTCTCCTGGGCCACAGGCACAGGTACAGCTGCTGGTGCCCGGGACCGCAGGGTGTGCGGCTCGTCCCTCTCCCAGGCCACAGCCTGGCTGGTCCCCATTCCTCTCTCGCGAGCTCATTTGTGCCTGGCTGGTCCCTATTCCTCTCTCCCCAATGTTGAGCGTCTGAGCCATTACTGTGTGAGGGCATGATGACCATTTGCATATTAGCTCTTTATTATATAGGATAACAATTAGATAGAATACAGAAAGTTGGTGATCCAGCATCTCAGGCAAGCACTACATGGAAATCTGCCTATGAGGACAGTGACCTCCCCACTTCCTGAGAAATCAAGCTAAGCTCTTGAGGAACAGTCCTAAGAATTGCGAGAGACATTGGTGAGCCTCTTTAACAAATCAACAAAAGAGCAACCACTACTATGTTACAAGGGATTCAACTTGCCACTGTTTGGAAATGTCACATCCATGTCAATGACCGTCCTGATGCCTGCTCAGCTACCCCTCTAGAGATTTATGGTTACTTCTACAGGATGATTTCAAACTGCAGGAACGTTCGAGGGGGCTAAAATGTTTTCATGCAAGTCTCCAAACCCATAGTCTATTTGCAATTAATTAAAACAAAATAGTATTAATCAAAAAACACACACCCAACAGCTGGGTTAGTTTTGTTAAGCTTCCAGAAGTATTCACTGTGACGGTGTTCCTCTGAAACAGGCTCATTCTCTCAGATCTGCCTACACTTTCCACATCACCTGCATGTTCCGTGCTTGAAAGTAGGAACGTTCAGGAAACACGGCACACGGGGAACTCAAATGTTAGTACGGGGGGAAAGGTCAGTTTAGCATCACAGCTAAGTTCAAATGTTAATTTTCTAGAAATTGGTATTAGTCGATCAAAGCACCAAAGAACAGAAGGAAGGTTTTGATGAGGAAGTTAAACCCTGCATTTCGGTAAATTCTCTTTCTGCTCACAGAACACAGGGTGAGCAGCGAGTTGAAGCAGCCGCTACAACTCTTGTGTGTTGTGTGAAGACACGGTGGGTCCCAGCTGAGTCACAAAGGGCATCTCAGTGGGGGCTTTATTGCTTAGGCTTGTTGCTTACATCACTAAGCAGCTAAATGGTTAGCACTTTTCTGCTCTATGATAAACATGCAGAAGAGTCAATCTAAGTGTTCATTTTTTAATGCAGCCATTGCAAAATTAGCTTTGCTGCAGAGTTGGTTTTGCTAAATTCTAGAATGATCACTGTGCCCTTATTTGAGTAATACTGTACAATGGGAGAAAAGACAGGAAGAACTTGGAAGAGGTGAAAGGCCGCTCTTTCCCTATGGGTGGTATAGGGCAGAGGGCGAGGACACAAATAACAAGACTCAATTCCATTTTGCAGGACAGGAGCCCCTGTCACTTTACAGCTTTTTGGCACAGTCGGGACAGTACACATGTTCCTGATGGAAAACAAAGCGCTTGTTGGCCAGATTCATGGAGCATTTTTTTTGCAGTGGAAGCAGTAGTCGTGCCAGGATTGTCCTTCATAGGTCACTACACTGGAGCCTTTACCAAACCCAGTGATGGGGTTCT